TTATTTTCAAACCTTTTCCAAAACCTTGTTAGGGTGGTCAGTAGATCTCTCTTATACGTACTTATTATAATTTTATTTATTTTGAATTACTTTATTTTTAGAAATCTTTATACTTATCAATTTTTTTTTAATTATTTTAAAATTACTTATACTTTAAACCTTAATTTCGGGAGATCCACTCCAGTGAAATTTTAAACATAGATTCTATGTGTGAAGAGCAAATTATTTGTGAGTGGATTAGTGAATGGTTGAGTCCATATCATTCACTAATCATTTCATCAAATGCATTTACATTTATTTTATTATACCTTGCATGTCTAGGATGCACGTGCACTTAGTTTAGGCTCTCCTAGATCTAAGGATGTGATGTGTTTACTACTTTTATATATCACAATACATTGTAAACCTAAGGGTTAGTCTGAACTTCAGTTTAAATTCATACAACGTAGCGACACCCTAAGGACAATAATTAAGGATCTGTCTAGCGAACTTAGAAAAAATTTAGAAGCTATGATAGATCCCTGATTGATATGAAAACTTAAAAATTTAAACTTAGTGACATCTCAAACATCACAAAAATTTATAGGAATTTTTAGGGCTCTTTAGACTTCTTAATCAACCAACCCTAAGTTACTTGATAAATAGGGCCCCGATACCTTCTAAAAATTACAGTAAATCAATTTTAACTCAAAAAAAATACTCATAATGGCTCAAATTTCTTAGAATATGATCCTTAACCTTAAATAAATAGGGCTCATTAGTTTGACCTTAGGCTGATCCCTAATTTAACCTTAAGTGGAAATTACCTTTTTACCCCTTAATAAATTATTAAAAATTCCAAACTTTCCACAAATACTTGGGAACACTTTCCCAGGTCATTCCTGACCTTTGGGGGTGATTTCAATTAGTTTGGAGCGGTTTGGATCAAAACTATAAAATCCCCCCTTAATTAGATAATTCCCATAAATACCCAATATTTAGAAATTAATTATTAATTATAGAATATTCCAAATTAGGAAAACTTAGTAGAATTAAACTCCAATTAGGGTCTAGTATTTATTAAAAATATCAAGATTCCAAAAACTAACCTAAATAAAAAATTCAACTTTCCGGTCAACCCGAGCCTACAATCTAGGGCCCGAAACTTGTAAAATTCATAACTTTGCGTAGGAAACTCCAAATCTAGCAAACTACCTGTCTAACTACTCATATTAAGGTCTAGTATTTACTTAAAATTTTAGGAGCCCCAAAAATAGCCTATTTCTTATAATGACCTTTTGGACCCCCTCAGCCTAGTACCTAGGAGGACACTGAACTTTTCAAAATTAGCTAATATAATTTGAACTTCAAATATCATTATCCTAAGCATTATAAAATGATCAACAAACTAAATTAACTAAAATAGATCTTAATTCGCTAATATTTGAACTTTAAATAAAATTTCATTTTTTGGTCTTTAATAACAAGCTATAACCTTAGACAACTTTAACTAACTATCTAACCTAGGATCTACCTAAAACCACACATGCCTTTACACATATAGAATTATTTGCTAGGGCACCACTTCTAGACTTGGCTAGGCCGGTGTTTCCTTTTTTGCTGTGTGCCGAGATTTTTGTAGTTTTCACTGCATGATGTGATGAACTGTTGCTGTGTTTGCTTACTTTTACTGTACTCTAGGAATTGATGTGATGGATATTAGATCTACCCTTAGGTTAGAAACACTATACATACATATTATGTTCTTCTTGCAGGTGGCCATGCTCATGCTAAGCTAAATAAAAGGGAGGCAATTGTCATGATTTTTAATGATATTTTATCCAGGTGTTTGCTAAGCCCCCATAAATAAATGAGGGCTCATATCATTAAATAATAACTGCTACAGGTGCTCCAGAAGCTGCATTAGCCCTCAATAATTAAGAGCATGACTAAGTGTGGCTGTGATGTGCATTTTTTATTTCCTATATAACTGCTTGAGATATCATAAATGCTTGAGATTTTTATTAGGATAACTATGCGCGTAGGAGAGTCTAGATTTTTTTTATTTTACTAATGTAATTTTATGTAATATTGGTGAGAGTTGTGAAAATTTCTTTGAGTGTGGATATTCTTATCCAACTCGAATTCTAAAATAAGAAGATATCCTTAAAGGGGAGAGTCTTCTTCCATTTAGAAGATCGAGTTTGGATGACTTTAGATATCCAAAGAGAAAAAGGCAATACCGCTTTTTAAAGGAGATTGTCTCTTCGTTTGGATATTCAAGTCACGACGAATCCAAGGAGTCCAATGAGAAGATACCCAAAAGACTGAAGAATTGAAGACCTAATATCCCAATCAAAGTTATTTGCGTCAGTTATAGGCTTAGAAATTTAAGTTGTTGGCAGTGGTGCCCGACCACTTTATTTTCTACAGACCCTAGGTTGTAATTAAAGGGCAATTTGCTTATGGACATTTACTTGATTAGTTGATTTATATTGATATATTTACTTTGCTTACATAGTAGAAATTATCTATTTTTTCTATGTTTCTTTCTTTCATGCCATTTTTATTTTTGCTTAGACTTCGTTAGGCTCTCTAAGTACTACAAAAACTCTTATACTCATAACTAATATTTAAAATTTTAGGATTTAAGTAATATAGAAATCTAACAAATCTATGGAACTGTCGTAATCGTCCGGGGTCGCATGCATATTATTACATCTCTCTCCCTCATAATAAGACACCTCCCTGCTTGTGGGTAGAGTTCGGATAATCTGGCCTATGAGGATGAAGTGCCGGACCTAGGGAGGCTCTGTCTTTTCTAAAAATTATTTTTATATTAAGCCTATTTTTAAAATCTAAAGCATTCATGATTTGACTTTTCAACAAACATGCATTACATTAGCAACTAACTAAACAAAATTTTAATTGCATTACCTATGAGCATTTGACCTATATAAGTCCAGGATCAATTAGGAACCTCTATAGATGTCGGTCATATCTTCCAAAAAATTATACCACCCATCTATCTCTTATAATTGACTTGATGGCATGGTTTTAAAGAGATTAGGTGATTAGTTGGCTCCCCAATCCAGGCCGGGGTAAGTCCAGGTTCTGCATTGCATTAGCTAGGACACGGGTCTTAGTGTTGTGTAGAACACTAAGCCCAACTTAGATTTAGGATTCGAGGCTGCTATACTCGGTCTCGTAGTATGCCTAGACAGTGGGTAGGTCCCTTCCTTTCAGGGACTATAAATCTCACTTATATGCTCACAGGATGACGCCACCTCCATCTTTTCTCTCACGTATGTGTCAGTTGCTTGACTTTTTTTTCTCCAATTTATTCTCTAGTACCATAGAGCCTCTGAATGCTGGTATGGACCGTGTACGTCAATTCAGCCCTTCAGAACATTTCTTTCTTTTGAGTATGATTTCTTAGTCTATACCCTTGTTCTAATCCCATTTTAGGAAGAGATAATGTATGATCCTTAATTGAGATTTTTCTCAAGTTCCGGCCTGGGATGTAATTAACCACGGGGGCTTATTCCCGTGGGAAACTTGGCCCCACATCTAATAAACCCCGCTAGAACTATTGTATCGTGTGGGGGAAACCCGTTTTGATCAGGTCATGTATATTACTACCATCAGGGTTTGCTGGTGAAAGCCTCTATCCCTAATGGTTAGTCGTATGCACGATCTAATCTACCCTCTCATTGACCTGTTCGTGTCGAGTGTAAAGGCATACAATCGTTTTGTCCCACGGGATAGTGCGGCCGTACCCTTTGCATTTGAGCCACCCCCCACCACCCTCATCGAAGACTTGCATAAGGTACTTGTGAGGGGATTCCTCAAGCTATGTCAGGGGTAGAGGGATATGCTAAAGATATAGGGCTATGTGTACACCATTCAACTCAGTTTACATGCATGTATAAGTCTGTATATTCCGTATAGCCCTCTTAACTCTATAAATAAGAGGTAAGAGCCATATTTTAGCCTTGATGATATTTTTTAATATTTAGAGTGATCTTTTAGATTCACAGTTACTCTCAATACTTATTAATTTTCTCACTTGGTTTTTTTAATGTAGTTTGCTTAACCTATTGATAGGGTCAGATGCTGTCCACAGACAAAATTGAATAAGACTTTTGATAGCCAATAATAACATGTTCACAATACAGCTGATAAATCATTGTAGTCACATAATATGAGCATGGATTAGATGAATATAAAAGTACATGATATCATAAGTCATTCATATGCGAGGCATATTTTCACTTCTTATATTAAGCAATATATCATCTCATATCATGCAATTATAGTGCCCGTATCTTTACAAACACTGTATAGTCATACAATCATATTGTTGAGTTCATGTATACCAAAATAATATGCATAAAATATCTTATCAATCACATGAAACATAATATATGATAATCACAATATATAATTGTGTGCTAATATTATATACATAATGATATTTAGGATATTATGTTCAATACATAATAATATATGAAACACTTTATGACAACGATAACGTGACATATACTTGGTGATTATAGGTGCAATGCTATGCAACCAACTATAATAATAAAGAATCATAGATATTAGTACATAACTACATGCAACAACCTTGTTGATTACAACATTAATTTAATAATAGCATGGAATAATATGAAATATCAATAGATAATAATGAAAATGAAGAAATTATAAATAATTTTGAGAATACACATAAAAATATGCACAATCTCACTCCAATCATGAAAGTTCATTAGAACACAAGGATTAATATAAATTTTGTAGAAATGCATAAGATATTTAGTAATACCGGAGAAATACTTTTGAATCATAAGTTCACGATTCCACATATTATTATTGATAGAAAAATCTATGAATTTTTTTTTTAATTGGTTGACTTATCATTCATTCAAATCTAAACATATGAATGATTAATTTTTTTTTTTAAATTCAAATACTAAAACTATAAATTAATAAAATTACAGAATACTTCTAATGATGGGCGGGCCCTGCATTGTGTAGAGATTAGAGGCCAGACGGATGGTGTGGTCGATCGCGCGAACCCGCCGCTTACTTCGCCGGCGATTGTACAGATTGCCGTTCGCGGCCGATCAGCGAGCGACGCTGGTGAATGTGAAGCTCAAGTGGGTAAAGGATCGCGCTCTCGACTCCGTTGTAGCTCGCGAACGCCATCTCCGCCAAGTTCACCGCCTCCTCGAGCTAATTTCCACTGATCCTCGGGGCGGCGTTCCGATCCAAGAACTCCGAATCCGACCTCTCCATCTCGGTAACGTCCGCCACCTACCGTCAGATTTCCTGCTCCGCTTTCCGGCCCTCTTTCGTAGATCCTCTGAACTTTCCTCTGGTCGTTCGTCCCCTTGGGTCTACCTCACCGACGACGCCTTCCAGCTTCGCGAGCTTGAGCTCAGCGTCCTCCGCGACAGTGAGCCCGAACTTGTAGACCGCCTACGCCGTCTTCTAATGCTTACAGCCCATTTATCGCTCCCGCTCCAAACTGTCGAGCAGCTCAGCTGGGACATGGGTTTGCCTTCGGACTACCACAAGAAAATTCTCCAGTGCTATCCGCATTTCTTCGGCCTTGTCCGGCCGGATGATGATGAGCGCGTCTGGCTTAAGCTTTCCGCATGGGACCCCCTCCTCGCTGTTTCTGAGCTACAGAGGAGTAGCTCCGCTGGCGGATTTAATGGTGATTCTTTGTCCTTTCCGGTGAGATTTACTAGGGGTTTCGGACTCAGGCGCAAGTGCATGATGTGGCTACAAGAGTGGCAGACGCTTCCGTATACTAGCCCCTATGCCGACCCGTCCGACCTCGACCCCCGCATCGACGTGTCCGAGAAGAGGATCGTGGGGGTGTTTCACGAGCTCCTCCATCTAACTTTATGTAAGAAGACCGAGCGTAGCAATTTGAGTAATCTAAGAAAACCATTACGATTGCCGTATAAGTTTACGAAAGTGTTCGAGCGCCACCCTGGAATCTTTTACCTGTCTCAGAAACTAGGTGTGCAAACAGTAGTTCTCAGGGAGGCCTATGGTGGAGGGCGAGAGCTCTTAAGTAAGCATCCATTGGTCAGTATCAGGGAAAGGTATGCTGCCATGATGAATGCCGGCAGGCCTGAGATTTGCGGGAGACATCTTATCTCTGAGGAATCTGAGGTGGTCTCATCTGAAGTGTGTTACAAAAATGAGTGATTTTGAAGACCCAGCTTTGCTTGGTTATTCTTTGAAGGTGAATCTACAATATATATTAAGGGTAAGTGGTGTCATGGAGTTGAAGAGTTAATGAATCACTTATGCTATTGAATTCTTATATAACTCGATTACTCTTAGGAAACAAAATGTTAGCATGTTGTAGCCTTTACCAATGCATGGTTTTCTTCTTTAATGGCATCTCCAACCGAACTCCAAATGCTTGAATGGCGTCGTTCGCAAGCTCTAGCTGAACGGTAAAACTTCCGTTATTTAGTTGCGGGTGAACAGTGGGACACCAATATTAACGTTGCACTGTTCATCTTTGCCATTTTTCTGTCTCTATCGAACTTGCTGAAGAAACCCGCGAAAGAAGAGAAAGACCGTTACCTTCGCAAAAGGGGGCAAAATGGAGTTCGATTGGAGATGTATCTTGGCATTTTGGAGTTAAAAATGATATTTTCGGTTGGAGATGGTCTTAATGGTTGGCATTATCTGTAATTGTGCTATTTGTACCAGTTTCATATTATGATTGGACTAGGGATTGTTGGTAAGGCAGGAATGGGCACTTGAAATAAATTAATTTTTGGATTACACATAAATTTTGGTTTTCTCTTGTTAACCATTTTACTGTTAAGTAAGGTTTTGCGATGACACTTTGGCTCCCTTTTGATGTTATGTTTACATTGAGTTATTAGTCCCAAGATCATGGGTAATGATAAAGCATGAGCAAGAAGATGAAATTATTTGTGGTAATTACTGAATTGAAAAAAATTTAGTGTTATTTGTGCAGGATTGATGTCTTATCCTTTCCATAAATGCTCTGGTAAATGAATTCTTGGATTAGATTTCTCACCCATATATTACCTGTTTTGCCAGAAGCCGTGTTGCATTCACTTCGATATAATGGCTGTTTGGCTGCAAGCAAGATTCAATTCAAGTAGGATTTGGTAATGGATGTTAACTCTAGTCAAATTCTAGTAAACAGATTGACTACTTCAAATATTTTGTATTTAAATGAAGGAGAAGAAGAGACAATGAGAAGTGGTCTAAATATATTAAATCCTGGATTTAACCTAAAATGGAAGGAGAATTAGATTAAAGAAAGTAGGATTTTTGTGTCTAAAAAATTCTTTGGCAAGATTTAATATAGCTCCTCCCAAAATCTTGGCTATATCTTGCAACCAAACAGGCCCTTAGAGTTGCCAGTTTGCCAGTTTGATGTTTGAATATTATTTTTTATATTTGCATTTAGTATACATTATTGATCAGTGTGAAGATTTTCCTCATTTTTCTTGAACCTCTTGCAATTCTAATTTTCTTTTACTAGGATCAGGCGTGAGTGAAGAAGAAGAGAGCAAGGGTCGGGCATGAATGAGATGAGAGGGAGCTTGCCTTTCTTCCTTGCGTGCGGTTTGTAGAGAGACAGATGGAGTAGGAGCGACAGAATGAGGCTCCACTATTTTCCATCACTACCCTTTTTTATTCGCTCGTTCATTTTTAAACACCAAAGGGTTGGCATCTGTTGGTGAAAGGAGACCACTTTTTTTAGATATTATTATTATTTTTAAATTTACACAATTTTCTCTCTCATGCATGAAATTTGGAGCCTCTTCAAGATTTTAAATTTTTTTTTTTTTTGCATAAATCTTAGCATCCCTTTAAGAGCTATCAACACCAATCTTCCCCATGCATGGTATTTTGAATTTTCCAAAAATCCTACATGCATCATGTCGCAAGCTCGTGAACTTGGAACTATTCTAAGTTCTTTTGTCCTATTTATTGGAGCACAAAATCAATGAAAGATCTTTTAAACATAAGATCTGAATTCTAGTCTCCTCCATTTACTTAGCCTAAATTAAGTGAATAATTATTTCTCTTTTAACACCAAAATATTCAAAGAACCTCTTCCAATTTGCAACATCTAAGTTGCATTTTCTTATCCATTTTCTACAAGCCAAAATTATAGGAAACTCTCCGATTCTCCTTAGCCTAAAAGCTAAGGAAATCCTCCCACCTCCTTGCTTGATACTTTTCTAAACTCAAATAAAAGTCCTCAAATGATTTTTTAGAGAGTTTAGGAGAACATTAGCCAATCATAGAAATCAAAATCATAACTCCTTTTATTTGTTTAACTCAAGTCAAACAAATGAATTCCCCTCTTTTTTGCGCATGTGATTGAGAGGTCGAGGATCACGTAGATTAATTAATCAAAGATTTAGGATCACTCAGATACTTCCTTGGCATGGAGGTAGCTCGATCAAGCAAAGATATATTTGTTTCCCAATGCAAGTATACTTTATACCTACTGAAGGAGACCGGCCTATTGGGATGCAGACCAGCCAGTACACCTATGGATCCTAAGAAGAAACTTGGGATATAAAAGGAGGGGGTTCCAGTAGATAAAGGAAGATATTAATGTCTTGCTGGAAAGCTTATATACCTCTCCCACATATGTCTAGATATTGGGTTTGCTGTGAGCATGGTGAGCCAATATATGAGTAATCCTATGAAGGAGCACATGAAGGCAGATAAGTAGTATATCAAATCCTTAGATATATCTATAACACTCCTGGAAAGGGTCTATTATTTTAAAAAATTAATGATTGAAATTGATCCTTTATTCTGATACAAATTGGACAGGAAGCCAGGTTGACAGTTGATCAACCACATGATATTGTTTATTTGGGTGGTGGAACCTAGTGACATGGATGAGCAAGAAACAATCTATTGTTTCAAGAAACTGTGCAGAATTGAATTGAGAGCATTAGCAATTACTATTTGTGAAGGTATTTGGATCATAAAAATATTGATTGAATTTAGAAATAAAGATTGAAAGCACGATAGAGTTGAAATGTGACAATCAAGCCACAATCAGTATGTCGAAGGATTCAATACATTACGATAAAACAAAACATATTACCATCGATAGTCACTTTATATCTGAGAAAGTAGATAACTTAGAAATTGAAGTAGTATATACCCCAACTTATGAACAACTTGTCAATGTTCTAATAAAGACACTATCAATCTCTCTACTTGATAAATTTGTTTGCAAGTTAGGATTATACCTGTACAACCCAACTTAAAAGGTAATGCTGAATCACACGATGAGGGGCTCCACTGCTTTGATAGGTCAGCAATCCGTGGGTAAGTTGGAGTTTTTGTCTTCTGACCCTAAGATCCGTGGGATATAATTATTAGAATAAATTTGATTAAATGACTTCTCTCTTATGTTTATTATAATTAATTATATTAAATGTATTTCTTTTTATGTTTATTCTCATAGAGTGTATATATATGTAATGATTCCAAGGAATAAAATTTGAATTCAATTTCCCCTAAACAATTTCTTCAGTTTTTGCTTATTATGAGCATAGCAGTTTGGAATTTATGGTATAAATATCTATTTCATGGTTTGATTTTCTTACAAATTTATTATCTTTATATCATTGAAAAGCTTGCTAATATCTCCAACTTTAAAAGTAAATGCCTTGCATTAAGCAATCTTCCTAGAAAAGCTTTATAGTGTGAGTGTTGAAGCTAGCAATATTGCTGGAATTTGTAAAAATGGAATAACACGTGAAGATAATCCATGTAAAGAACTTTAATTTATATAGAATATATGAATAAAAATAAATTAAAGAAAAAAAAAAACTTGCTTAATCATATTACAGAGAAGATATATGAAATTACAAAAATAATTGTCAGATAAAGAAGATTAATAAAGAAATATAAATAATTGCCTTGAAAAAAAAGAAAAAAAGTAGTAAAATGGTTGATTAGTTATCATTGGTAGTTCCAGTAAAACTGTAAGAGAGTTCCCCTTCTTATTCAAAGACAAGAGAATGAAGATACTGAAGATAAAGTTAAGGTGTTAAGGCAAGTAGGAATCTCTGCTATCCTCAACCCTTCACTTGCTGAATTAATGAATATTAACAAAGATGAAAATGCAAGCAAAATCTTCCAAATTTCTAAACAACATTAATCATTCTTAAAAATAGAAAATATAAAGAGCGGAAAAAAAAATTATTTTCAAGATAAATACTTTCATACTGGTGAGTCTGCGACAAATCAAAATTTTGGGAGATTAACTTCGGCAAATTAAAACAACTGATATCCAAAGAATGATCATCCATGGGAGGAAGGAGAAGGGAGGAGGAAAGCCTCAATCGGTGGAACTTTTATTTGGTACGGTGACCTGACGTAGCTCTACGTTCGAACGCCAGTAAAATAGTGCCACGTGTTTTTACTTTTTACTGCGCGGCCCGTCAACCGATTGCTTGGTATTGCTAGGTATTGGTCGATTTTGCTCGGTATTGCTAGGTATTGCTAGATATTGCTAGGTATTGGGCCCCAGGATTGTTATGTTTGCGTATTGCTAGATATTGCTCGGTATTGCTAGGTATTGGTCGATTTTGCTCGTTAATAACAAGAAATACCATTATGTGAAGACCAATACCGAGCAATACCGAGTTTTGCTAAGACCAATAGCGAGCAATACCAAACTCGGTATTGCTTGGTATTGGTCTTCACAGAGCGGTATTTCTCGTTATTGCCGAGCAATACCGAGCAAATACATAGCAATACCGAACAATACGTGAACATAACAATCATGGGTTCCGGTCCGGGTCGGGCCATCGGGCCGCGCGGTAAAGAGTGTGAACACATGGTGACATATTATTGTCGTCCGAACGTAGAGCAACGTCAGGTCACCTGACCTAATAATTATTCCAATCGGTGAGAGATAGATAGAGGAACAAAGTACATGGGAAGTTGGTGCGAGCGAGAACTACCAGAACAAAGCACGTGCGGGAAGGCTACACCACACGGAAATCGGCACAGAGAGAATGAGCAGAATAGAGCATGCACGGGAAGGGAGATTTTAGCGGGAGATGTTCAAAGATAATATTGTGATGGTTGGGAGGAGATAGAGTGATATATTTGATATTAAAATTGTATATAAATAATCTGAATAAAATATTTAAATTTTAGATATTAAATATGCAAATCAAGTGATATATGAAGGTAAATCCTCGATCATAAAAAATTTCTCTTGGACTACAAGTCTGTAGCCGTAAAGACGTAGTGTGCGAAATCGAAGAACTTCTCTTGCGATGTGATTTATGTAGAATCTCTTTTCTCTTTCTGTTTCGGGCTTCCGATGATTCGCTTGATTTATCGATAGGGTTTTCCTCGGGGTTCCACCAGCTGTTATGGATCATTCTCCGGGCGGCACCGACATGCTATTCGAGGATTTTGGGCAGAGGGTCGATCTAACGAGGAGGATTCGGGAGGTTTTGGTGAATTATCCTGAGGGTACGACGGTGCTTAAGGAGCTGATCCAGAATGCGGACGATGCCGGCGCCACAAAGGTCGTCTTTTGCCTCGATCGCCGCTTCCATGGCGTGGATTCGCTGCTGTCCAGCGAGCTCTCGCAGTTTCAGGGCCCAGCGCTTCTTGCTTACAATGACGCGGTATTCACGGAGGAAGACTTTGTAAGCATCTCTCGGATTGGTGACAGCAAGAAGCATAGTCAGTCCTGGAAGACTGGGCGTTTTGGGTAAGTTCCGTTCTCCATGCATTGCGTGTTGGGTGCATGCCTTCCTTCTAGGAGCTTTAATGAGCTTAGAATTTAAGCTGCTTGGTTTGCATAACGAATATTCTGATATAAAATTAAGCCGGTCAAGAAGATGGAACTATAATTTTAGAATTTTAAGTTGTTTGAGTAAATCGCTAAAGAATTTGTGAGTTATCTTGGTTGATAAAGGTAATCCCCATTCATGAACTTATGGTACTAGTAAGGTATGCAATTTGTATTTAATTGTGATTATGAAACAATTTAACCATTGATTAGGAGGCAATATAGAAATGCAGTAATTGACTCTTGCATTTAACAAACTTTCTATTCCTTTGTTGGTTGCTCTAATTAAAGGACTATAATTAGCATGGTAATTATAAGAAGGTTTTGAATAGTTGTGTCTGGAAGATAAACATATGCTAAATTTTCTTTTTTGATTTCTGAATTAGACATAATTACATGTACAAAAATCATAGTATTGTTTCTAATTATTTGTATGTCTGTTGATGTCCAAATATGGGGTGGGAAGATTAGCTGGGTCAGATTGGTAGGTCCCCCTATTTCGAGGATATATGAACTAAGAATGGTCAGGAGAGGGAGGGACAAATAATTCAGGCAGTGGACTTTCCTTTTCCTAATTGTTTGAGTAGAACTATGGGGAGAAGGAGCAAGAAAAAAAGGATCCTTCTTCCTTTTGTATTGGATTGTATAATATTTATATTGGATTGTATTACATTTATAGATATTTTTCTATGACATTATCCTCCTTCTCAAAGGACTCTCTCTCTCTCTCTCTCTCCAACTTCTCATGACTTGAGGTTAGTCAACCTACCAATGTCACCCTCCTAGTCATTTTCTGAATTAGACATAAATACATTCTCATAAATCATATGCATTATTGCTAATATGTTTGTTGATGTCCAAACTTTGGGCTGGAAGATTAGGAGGGTGAGATTGGTAGGTCTAATTAATTCAAGGAGAGATGAATCAAACAAGGAGAGATGAATCAAGAATGGGCAAGAGTGAGGGAGGGACAAATGAATTCAGGCTGTGAATTTTCCTTTAGCTGAATGTTCAGATAGAATTCCAGGAAAAAATATACTTTTGTTTTGGATTGTATAATATTTATAGATATTTTATGAAGTTCTTCTTAGAGGATTCTCTATCCAAGGCTTTTCTAGTATCCCTATTTGCATCATCTGCTACACATTTCTTGAAATTTTAGAGATAAATTCATCTTATTAGTAGAGATTTGGATCTGTTAAGGTCATGATCCATTGTGAGGGTGTGCTACATGGCATTTCCTAAAAAATTGTTTTGTCTTAGCTTGAAGTGCTCTAGTGTTTTGTCTTCATCTAAGGTTGGCAGTGCGGAACTAAACAAGGAAATTATTGAGTTTGTGTGATTGATACTATCGGTACTATGAGATGTTTATTAGGTTCCAAGTCAACTGTGTCCTGTTGAATGGAGTTTCTTTTGTAGAACCGAGCAAATTCTTTTGACTTGTCTTACATGAATAAACCCCATATCACTCTATTGTTGGGTATCATATCCGACTAACTTTGCCAACTTAGTTTCTCAAGAGATTCTGCCATATGTATGGTCTAAATCATTCCTGTTAAGGGGTTGTATTTTGCCACCCACAATATCATTTATTTTTGACCCATTCCAAGGTTCAGAAATTAATTTCAATATGCATTCATACATTTATGGATTTGTATATTATGGTAATAACACATTTTAAATTATACAAGTCTTGAATTGACATATAATCTTACATGGTGGTTTTTACGAGCTATAAGACTATGAAGGGGTAATGGTGGAAAACCCAAAGTAGCATCATGAAATACATTAGTGTTATATATATATATATATATGCATGCATGCATGTAGTTTGTTGTTTAAAGGAAGAGGGTGGAGAAGAAATGATTGGAAGTGTCTGCCATATAGTGGATATCCAATTAAAAGCCAGGGTTAATTGAAGGATTTTTTGCTCTAATCTATTTGATAGCGTATATCAAGTTCCATTTGGTTAAAATCCCATTCGAGGTGGTTGGCACCCCCTGCTGCTATTTAAAGATAATTTTCCCTTCAAAACTTAGTGAAGTATACTTCTGCATGGTTTCAACAGCTCTTTAGTTGTTATTTGTAGGCATTAAGGTCTCCTAAAGAAATAAGAAAGAGGTTAAAATGAAAATCACAAAAAATTATGCTATACTAAAGTAAAGAAAATAACTGTTAAGGAAAATTATGTGTCCCATTTGAAGATACAAATTAATTCCAGTAAACCTGGCATATGGACTGCAGATGTCTAGCAAATTTGATTGAAATAGAAGTTTTCATTCTGTGGCATGGTGTGGCCAGTCATGCCAATGCCCAAACTTATAATGTACCATGAATTTATCTGTGATTCTTTATCTTGATATCTTTTTTCCGTGCAGTCCAAATAATTTCAGTGGCATTAAACTTAGGATTCAGACACCAAAGAGGCCTCAGTTATGTTTAATTCTATTAACGGGCTTCTATGGATATCTTTTTTGACATAAAGATGATAATCAGTTAGTTTTTTTTTACTTACTGGATTGTTGTTATTCTATCTTTTCTAGTTTGCAAGCTATATCATCGTAAATGCCTTACTTCATTAAGTGTTTTTGAGCATGTTTTATTTCTTGACTAGTGTGGGCTTCAATTCTGTGTATCACCTGACCGACTTGCCATCCTTTGTAAGCAACAAGTATGTTGTCTACTTTGATCCTCATGGTTCGCACCTTCCAAATGTTTCAGCAGCAAATCCTGGAAAGCGTCTGGATTTTGTTAGTTCATCAGCAATGCCCCTATATGAAGATCAGTTTAAGCCATATTGTATTTTTGGATGTGACATGAAGAACCCTTTCCCTGGAACTTTATTTCGTTTTCCACTAAGGAATGCAGATCAGGCTGCTGTCAGCAAGCTTTCTAAGCAAGCGTACACTGCAGATGACATTTCCTTAATGTTTTCCGAACTTCATCAAGAAGCTGTTTTTAGTTTACTTTTTCTCAAAAGCATCATCTCAATTGAAATGTATGTGTGGGACGTTGGTGCAAATAAGCCGCTAAAAGTTTATTCTTGTGCTTTAAAGGATTCAAAAGAAAATATTGCACTGAATCGCCGGGCCCTTCTGAGATTATATAGCTCAATGGAAGTACAAGATTTGAATTTAGATTCATTCTTGGTAAATTTTCTTTGTGAGGCCATCACTGGAGGTTATTCAGATAGAAGATTAGAAACCTTTTTCATAGTGCAGGGAATGGCATCGGCATCAAGCAAACTTGGCACTTTTGCAGCCATGGCTGCCAAAGAATATGATCTTCACCTTCTTCCTCAGGCATCTGTTGCCCTTTGTTTGTCCGATGACTTGCCTGAGGTATTCTTTTCTACAAATTACTAGTTCTTGTATATATGCAGCACACTTATTATTTTGCCAATGGGGCATTTTGGTTGCAAGCAAATAGATGTAAAGTATTCCTTTTTTTTAATGTATCTTATCGTTTCTAATTTTAATTGGAAGTGAAACAAAAAAAAAAAAGGTTGAACTTTTAAAGGATTTGAAATGCCTTGAAATCCAATTTTCCTTGCAAGTAAGTTTCACAAATCAGGTGCATTATGAAGGTGCTCGGGGAGGATGGAGAGGGGTTAACAATGCTCTTGAAGGAGCCATTTGCAACAAGTCTAGGAAGAAGACTGAGAGTTTAATAATATTCTTAGGGTAGGTGACAGTGGCAGTTGAGGAGGGCAGAGAGTATGATGGTACTCAGGGATGGTGGAGAGGGATGTTGGTGCTGAGTGAGAAAGTTGAGGAAGGCCTTGGCAATAACCATAATAAAGAAGAGGTCATGGACATGGTTTTCAATGCAACAAGTGGGGGAGTGAGTTCCTTAGTCAGGGTGGCTGGAGAGTAGCTGAAGGAAGAGTCAAGATAGTTTTATTCTAAAGAAAAAGGATCAAATTGGTCCTTTAAATTTTGGTTTTTTCTGAAGGATCAAAATAGTCAATGATTTTCAATTCTTTCTGAAATCTCAAAATGACATACATATCTTGGGCTCAATTTTTCTGCTTTACCAAACCTCTTCACTCCCTTCATCGGACTGACCTTAAGAAAAACAAACTCTCCCACCTCAAATTCAACTGGTCAGTGTTTGACATCATAATATTTCTTTTGTCTATCCTGTACTGCCCTCAATCTGTCACGGATCAATCTGATCTTTTATGTAGCATCATCAACTAGATCAACACTAATAATCTTCCTTTTCCCTATCTCAGTCCAACTTAAAGGTGTCATACACCTTCTCCCATACATTGCCTCATAAGAAGCCATATCAATACTTGCTTGAAAACTGTTGTTGTAGGCAAACTCAATCAGTAGCACATGTCTCCCACTTACCAGCAAAATTCAAAACATATAACCTAAGTAAATCTTTTAAGATTTGGATGGTTCTTTCTGACTGCCCATCTGTTTGAGGGTGGAAAACTGTACTAAAAGTAAGCTTGGTACCCATAGCTTCCTGAACCTTCTTCTATAATCTGGAAGTGAATCTTCCATCCTGATCTGACATTATAGTCTTTGGTACCCCATGTAAAACTATCTTACCAACATACAGGCTTGCCAATTTCTCAACTAGATCAGATTGTTTGATAGGTAAAAAGTGTGCAGACTTAGTCAACCTATCAATTATCACCCATAAAGCATCACATCCTCTTCTGGATCTTGGTAAACCAATAAGAAAATCCATACCAATATCTTCCCATTTCCACTCAGGTATAGGTAAGGGCTGTAGAAATCATCCTGGTTTCTGATGTTCCACTTTTACCATCTGAAATGAAGTACATTTTGATACAGTATTTCCCGCACTTCTCTTCATTCTTGGCCACCAAAACACCTCTTTTAAGTCCTGATACATTTTATTACTGCCTGGATTAATGGTATAATTAGAATAGTAAGCTTCTTGAAGGATTTCTTTTATTAAGTTATCCACATCTGGAATACATAATATGCCTTTATAACGTAGTAGTCCTTCATTATCAAGCTCAAAATCTCCAACGTGTCCCACACTAATCATATCCAGTATCTTCTTAAAATTTGCATCATGTGGCAAAGCTTCTCATACCCTTTTTGAAAAAGTTGATTGAATAATAGTGATGTAGAATGGAATTGATGGAAGAGGGTAAAAAGGGAAATTGCGAAACTAAATTAAAATACACTTAATAAATGAAAATAAAACAAAGTGATCTCGGTCGTCGATCTTCAGCTCCTCCTCGGATTGGCATGGACGGTTGGATGTCCGCATCAAATAGTCTGATTCAACAACACAATTTCTGCATCATTGGGTTGAACCATTGAAATTTCTAACTTCTCTAATTCCCTTATCAATTGTTGCTGCCGTGTAATCATCCAGTTTGCACTATCAGAATTCTTCATGCTCAAAGCATATGCAACCATATTTGCTTTACCCACGTGATACTGAATGTCTAACTCATAATCTTTAATGAGTTCTAACCATCTCCTCTGTCTTAAATTCAGTTCATTTTGGGTGAAGATATACTTCAAACTCTGGTGGTCTGTAAAAGCTTCGCACCGAACTCCATACAAGTAATGCATCAAGATCTTTAAGGCAAAAATTACTGCAGCTAACTCCAGATCGTGGGTTGGGTAATTCCTTTCATGATTCTCCAATTGCCTACAAGCATAGGCAATGACTCTTCCATTCTGCATTAGTACACAACCCAACCCTTTATGCGAGGCATCACTATAGAGCTGAAATCCACCTGACCTTGACGGAATAGTCAGCACTGGAGCAGTTATCAAACACTGCTTTAATATCTGAAAAACTTCTTTACAATGAGCTGTCCATTCAAACTTCACTGCTTTCTGAGTTAATCTGGATAGTGGCATAACTATATGTGAAAATCCCTTAACAAATCTTCTATAGTAGCCTGCCAATTCTAAAAAGCTCCTAACCTCAGTTACTGTAGCTGATCTTAACCAATCTACTATTGCTTGCACCTTATGCCGATCCACATATATCTTCCTATTAGTGATCACATGCTTCAAAAATTTTACCCTTTTCAGTCAAAATTCGCATTTGAAGAACTTAGTATACAATTCATTTCCTCTCAATGCCTGTAACACATCCCTTAAGTGATTCATATGCAGTTCTTCATTTGGGGAGTAAAAAAAAATGTCATCTATGAATACTAGCATGAATAGATCTAAAAATGGCTTAAAAATTCTATTCACAAGATTCATAAACACTGCAGGAGCATTTGTCAAACCAAAATGCATCACTATAAACTCATAATGCTCGTATCTGGTACTGAAAGCTGCCTTTGCAATGTTTTCCTCTCTAATCTTGAGCTGATGATAACCTGACCTCAAATCAATCTTTGAAAACACTGAAGCACCACCTTCCAACTGATCAAACAAATCATCTATCCTTTGCAACGGATACTTATTTTATACTGTCAACTTATTCAACTCTCTGTAATCTATACAGAGTTTTAGGCTTCCATCCTTTTTTTTTTACAAAAAGAACAGGTGCACCCCAAGGGGAGGTACTAGGCCTGTTGAATCCCTTCTCAAGCAGCTCTTGCAGTTGTTCCTTCAACTCCTTAAATTCTTTTATTGTCATTCTGTAAGAAGCCTTAGCAACAGGTTCAGCTTTTGTCACTAATTCAATAGAGAAATCTATTTCTCTACTTGGAGGTAAGCCACGTAAATCATCTGAAAATACTTTTGGATATTCTTGAATGATTGAGATGTCTTTCAGCTCTCTTTTTGCCTTCTTCTCTTCCTTAACATAGGCCAAGAAGCCTTCATATCCTTTATTCAACATATGAAAAGCCTTCAGAGATGACACAATCACAACTGTTACCCCTTTATCCTTTTAAAATTTGAATTTACTCTCCCCTGCCATACAAAACTTTATCTCCTTTTTGTTACAATCTATAGTCACAAAATGACAAGATAACTAATTCTTGCCTAAGATTATATTAAATTCAGACAATGGCAAAACAATTAAATCTGCTTCTAAGTTTTCATCACCTATTCTCAAGTTCACATGACAACTCCTATTTGTTTCCATTTGATTTTTATTTGACATTAGAACTGACAATAATTTCAACATAATTATAGGAAGCAAATTTGTAGATCTAACAAACTCTTCTGAAATAAATGAGTGTGATGCTCCAGTATCAAATAATATTCTAACAGGTCTATCACACATAATGATTGTCTCTTAAATCATAAAAAAGGTTACAATATTCATTTTAAGACATAACATTCATTATTCGTTCATTTCATATAAAATCTTTCATTGACATTTAATTAAATTACGTACCTGTAACAACGTCAGGAGAGCCCTTAGCTTCTTGTTGGGACAATCCATAGACTCGAGGCTGAACATTCTGACGAGTTTGACCTTGAGAAGGAACAGAAGTTGTAGACTTCACAGCTCTTGGTCTACCAGCTATCCTTTGAGTATTGTTACCTGACATGACCTCTGTAGCAAATTTCTATCCCAAAAGAGGGCAAGACTTTGCCATATGTCCATGCTGATGGCACCAGAAACAAGTATTAGTGTCAGAGAGGCACTCTCCCTTATGCATTCTCTCACACTTATTGCATAAAGTGGCAGTTAAAGTACTGCTGTCAGAATTACTGGATTTGGGCTTCTTCCAAGTAGAGACCCCAGACTGAGAAGATTGAGCAAACTGAGAGGGCTTTGACCTGCCATCTATCATCCTTTTATGAAAATCTCTCTTATGAGTTGCCTACATGTCCATCTCAATTCTTCTAGCTCTTTCCACCAAAGTAAAATAATCTTCTATTCCAAAAGGAATGAGGGTCTGCCTTATTATGTCTTTTAGTCCAGTCAAGAAGCAGTGATACTTTTTTTCAGTATTACGTATCAGGTGTGGGGCATACCTATACAACATTGTGAACTCTGCCTCATACTGTGAAACAGATCGATCTCCCTGAACCAATCTGTTGAACTTATCCTATATCTGTCTCCTGGCTGATATAGGCACATACTAGTCTCTGAATACTTTTACGAACTCCTCCCAGGAGACTTGATTGCTGGGTCGTCCTCCAAAAGTTTCTTGCAACTGACTCCACCACCTTTCTGCCTCACCATCAAAGACATAAGCAGCAAGTGTCACTCTTTTATCTTTTGGGCAAGACATGCACTCCAGGATTTTTTATATCCACATAAGCCAATCTTAAGCCTCTATAGGCCCGCCAATTGAAAACAACGGAGGCTTCATATCTTGAAATAGTTTCAAGTTCTTATCCATAGAACGACTTCCATTGTCACTGGTTTGAGTTTGGGAGGTTTTCATCATTTGAGTCATTGCTTCCATCATCTGAGCGAATGACTCCATAATGATGTGAAACGTACATGCGATGGAGTTACTTTAGGAAATTATAGGAAGCAATTTGAACAAAATAATCCAAATTAAAATTATCATTTGTAATAAAAGAGTGAACCTTAGAATTCTTAGTTTTAAAAATGACACAAATGCCCTTCCGGGCCACATAAGCGACTAAATGCCCATAAGGGCAAAAGTGGAAAAACATCAAAATAAATACGCTACTACATAAAATGACAAAGTACAAGTCATGCTCGTGGCCGTCGATCTCCGGCGTCGAAAATGCTGACGATGTCCTCATCACATAATGTTGCTATTATTATTCTTCTGAGGTTCTGCTACTTCTGATAGTTCCCTTCCTTCCTCACAATCAATGTCATCAGTGTCATTCTGCTCAGGATCCATATTCCTGAGATAAAACATAACAATCATAAGGTGAATAATTCATAAAATTCACACTTTCTACACATTCTAAGACTCATTCAATCATTCTATAGGCTCTTTCATTGATCAGTATTAAACATTTTCACGACTCGCGCTCTGATACCACTTTGGTCACTACCCGACCTGGCTTGCCCAAATTAACGGGGCGGAAGCAAGCAGTCGTACGGAAAACCCGTAACATAAAACATAACCATTTCATTTAAACTTTTATAACATAATATGAACATCTTCAACACATAAATAAGAAATAGCCACTAAAAACATCAACACCAAAATTTCCCAATTTGTTTCTTCTAAATCACAATATTTAAAACATAAACATCAACACTTATATAAACTCCAACGGACTTCTCAAATACAAACCATTAACTCAAACGCATAATAGAAAATATAAAAATTTTCTTCTTGAGATCCTCTACAACGGTAGGTGTACTGTCATTTCGTTGTCATTACTTTTCAAATGGTTCTCCTGAAAAAGATTTCCACAAGTAGGGGTGAGCTTACTCGCTCAGCAGATAATTCATATTTTCATAAAAATTTGCATTAAATCAAAATAAAGCATCATTTCATAATTAAATATTAAACGACGGTCAAATTTGCATAAGTTCATAACATTACTTATAAGAAATATTTTCATAACATTTCATCAATTATAAATCTTTCACTTAATATTTTTCCTCAAATATTAGCTTTAATAATTTGTAGAAAAAATATATAAACCATATTATGCATAATGTCTATTATATCACCCGTCTCGGAGGTGCCCATAAATTCTGTGCTGATCAGATACACATTATCATTTGGCCATTCCTTTATAATTGGGACTAACGAGCCTCCTTTACCATTTAGCTCTTTCGAGCCCCTTTAACATTTTGCTTTTTCAAGCCCCTTTACCATTTGTGCACTCCGCATCATCATGCACATTCTCTTTTTATAATTTATATTTAATGTTTAGTCAATTATATGCGTAAGGAGAACAATTGTGAATAAAAAAACATCCGTTTAAAACATAAAAATCTTGAATCTAAGCATAGTATGAAAGCTCACTAACATCAGGAAATAAAAGACTTGAACATGCTATTTGCTACAAAATAAAACTTGGAAACCATTTAACTTAAAGTATCAACTATTTGCATTGCATAAAAGAACAAAACATAACTATAAATTTTTTACAAATAATATGAGTACCTACCTTCACCCAAGCACAATATTTTCTCAAAGTGTCGTTTTGATACACCTCGTTCACCTTAACGATCACAACATAAAATAATCACATAAAAAAGCGTGTCACAAATCAATCTTTCTTAAGGTTTAATCTAATTCCTAATTGTCTAAACTCTTCGTTTGCCCTTAACTGTTCCCTACGACACTTAATGAAATTTAAATAAATTAATCTTAATTTTTGGATTTAATAAAATCCTTAATTTTTGAAAACCCTAAATCCTCAATTTTATCAAATTAAATCTCCAAAATTGTTTTTAAACATATTTTAATAATTAACTTAATTATTTTTCGATTTAATTATTTAGGAAAATTAAAAAAAATGAAATTATTACAAAAACTCAAATTTTTATTTTAAAAACATTCCTAAGGCCCTTAGAAACAATTTTTGTAAAAGCACTTTAAGGAAATTAGATTTTAGGTAAAAACCCTAAATTTTTTATTTTAAAAAATTCTCAAAGAAGCCTCATTTTCATCGTTATAATATTTCCCTAATCCTTACATATCGATTTCGTAAAGAAATTTTGAAAGAAAACGAAATTTTTGTAAAGCCCTAGAAATTTCGTCTCAAAATAACTTGAGATTGAGAGGGATTTGCTTCGTATAAATCATACCTTAAGACTCTCCCCGTCGTCGATTTTCACTAATTTCTTTGACGGAAAATCGCCGCGGGAACCTTGCTCGTCGAAGCTCGATCGTCCTCCCCTTTCGCTCGTTCCTCTCGGTTTCGGCCGATCGTGCGAATGGAATGAGGGTAGGGGTTTCGATTTTTTTGCTATATTAGGAGATAGGAAAATCCAAAAGACTATTATGCCCTTACTTAAACAAAGTCGGCTTAAGAAACAATTAGGGATAGAATTAGTATTTTAAAATTTCTAAAAATTATATCTCCTAATTTAAGCGAAATTGGATACAAGTTCCATACACCAAATTAATCAAAATTTGGCGTAGAATTTTATAAAATTACTTTCGTCAGATTACGTTGACTTTAATTTTTAACTTAAGTTTCGTCGCGACGCATCGAAATGCGTGCGACGACCTACGATCGTCTTTTTGGGTTTTACACGAGGCACAAGTTAGTCTATGAGAGGAAGCTGATGGCGATTGTGCTAACCATCTCGGATTGGCGACCCTACCTGTTGGGGTGACACTTCATGTTCAAGATTGATCAAAGAGCTTAAAGTTTCTTATATAGCATTGATGAACCAGCTGAGTCGATCTAGGAAATCAACTGGGTCCCAGCAAGGGGATTCGGTCTAGCTGGCAGGTGCAAGAGCCTTGTGGGCCCCACTAGTGTAGGCTGCAGGCAAGGAGAGAGGGGGGCTCAAAGAAGATTAATTTTACCTTTAATTAGTTACCATAGAAAATTAAAAGTGGGAGAAAATTCGTAACGTTTATTTAGGGAAAAGAGGGCTGATTTGAATTCAGATTTAAGAGAGAATTAGGAAGGTTTATTTAGGGCAACTGGGCTGATTTGAATTGAGATTTGGGAGGAAATTAGGAACGTTTATTTAGAATTAATTAGATTGTTTTATTTTTATTATGTGATTTTGTATTTTGAGTAATTTTCTTTGGGGTTGTTCCAACAGCACCTAGGATTTGTGGAGAGTCGATCTACCTCTCAAATATTATATTAATTTGTAACTTGGTTTGTTGTGCCGATATCAATAAAATTAACTCATAATCTCTGTTTTTCTCGCTAATTTTTGCTTCGTATTCTCTTCTTATTGTTGTTTTTTGGCTGTGTGGAGATCGGATTCCTATCAAAATCCAAGCTTCCAATCCAAAAATTCTGCTTTGTGGCACATTACATCCCAATATTGACGTATAACTCATTCAAATCAAAATGTACTAGCAAGTATAGGTTGCCATTGGCGTCAATTGTGAACTTGTCCAATGATTCAGACACCTTTGGCTCTAGCTTTGAATTAAAATTCCACAAAAATTTTGTTACATTCTTGAATGTTGTTGTGCCATGGGCCAACATTTGAGGGTTACCTTTCAAATTGATAATCTGGGCCTTTACCTTAAATGATACTGAATAAAATGTATCTACACAAAAATAAAAAAAAATGCGGGGTAGGACTATGTATGAAGCTGTAAATCTATCATGTGTTTAATGATTAACTTGGGAAAAATGGTTTGAGCATTGTAGTGAGCTCAAGAATAGTTGGAGTTGGGAATGTCAATTTGGGTTTATGGGCTTGAGTTTGAGTCGGATCGAAAATAATCCAACATGAATATAGCCAAAATCCAAAACTAACCCGTTAAATAGGCGGGTAAAAAATCTCAACCCAAACTTGACTTAACATGACAAGAAAATTATTTGTTGAAGTCGTGATGGGTTACTGTTTAACTTATTTTTATTGTTTACTTCATTTCTCTAAGAGAGTTTGTTATCCTATTTATGTTATACCCATCTACATACTCAGCAGTCGAGTCTTTCTTGTACTTTCAATTTGATCCCTTGGTTTTTCAGGATTTTCAAATGTTTAGACGCATGTACCTTTTTCTCATTCCAGCTGATTTTATAGGATCATGTTCTTAAGCAAGGCCAAGTGTTCTGTTCTCTTCCATTGCCGGTAAGAACAGGTTTTAATGTTCACGTGGATGGATACTTTGAAGTATACTCCAACAGACGTAGCATCTGGTTTGGATCCGATTTGGAAAGAGGTGGAAAACTGAAGTCTGACTGGAATAGGCTTCTATTGGAATATGTTGTTGCTCCAGCCTACTGTGAGTTGCTTGTTGGTTTGAGCAAGCTGCTGGGTCCTACCAAGCTATACTATTCTGCATGGCCAACTGGTTTATTTGAGGAACCATGGAGTATTTTAGCTGAGAATATCTACAGAATTGTCTATTCAAAAAAGGTCTTATATTCTAATTTTGAAGGTGGAAATTGGATATGCCCAGCTGAAGCATTCTTTCACGATATGGAATTTTCAAAAAATGAAATACTTGGCGAGGCCCTAGTCTTATTAGGGATGCCTGTTGTTTTTCTACCTGGTATTATTTTTGAAACAATGTATAAATATTGGTCAAATTTTAGAATCAGTTTGGTTAGTCCTATAATAGTACGAAGTTTCCTAAAGGAGAGTGAGAAACTGGGCACTTTAAACAAATCGTACAAGTTGGTTCTATTAGAATATTGTCTCACTGGTCTGAGAACTGAGGTTGTTAATAAACATGTTGAGGGCCTTGCATTGCTTCCTTTAGCAAATGGTGAGTTTGGCACCTTTACTAAGACTATAAAGGGAACAAATTATTTTATATGCAGTGATCTTGAGTACACTATCCTGGGATCGACTCCTGATATAATGATTGATCGAACCATTCCATCTGACTTGTTCAGCATCCTTTCTGAAATTGCTAGGAGTTCTCAATCAAATCTTGCATTCCTCAATGAGAAAAACTTTCTGCAGTTGTTCCCAAGGATTTTTCCTTCTGAATGGAGGTATAAAAACAGGGTGCCGTGGAATCCTTGTGCAGGCACTTCTCATCTTAGTGCAACTTGGTTTACATGTTTCTGGGACTATATTCAAGGTCAATCTTATGATATATCATCATTTGGCGAGTGGCCTATCTTGCCATCTACTTCAGGGTACCTTTACAGAACATCAAAAACCTCGAAGTTTATTAATGCAGAGAAGCTACCTGAACCATTGCGGGATATTCTAGTAAAAATCGGCTGTAAAATTCTTGATCCAGCATACAAAATAAAGCAGTGTGATTTATCTCTATATATTTCAGATAGCGATGCTGGTTGCATTCTGGACTCCATTTTTGATACTGATATCTCTGGAGGCAATGAAATATGGTTGCTTTTTCAAGTTCTTTCTGTTCCTGAGAAAATTGAGCTCCGCAGGTTTCTGCTTGATCCACAGTGGTATCATGGAGGCTTTCTCTCTGATATTCACATTAAATTGGCAAAGAAGCTTCCTATATACAGGGTCTATGGCGAACAACATTCTGAAAACATTCATTTTCATAATTTGGAAAATCCTACGAGATACTTACCACCTGTAGATATACCCGAATTCTTTGTGGATGGTGATTTTGTTTTCTGTTCATCTATCATTGAAGAAGAGATTTTGCTAAGGTACTTCGGTATTGAGCGTATGCCAAAGTCTGCTTTCTACAAAAAGTATGTTCTAAGTAGACTGGATGAATTGCAATCTGATGTTCGTGATACGATTATGCTATCAGTTCTAAAAGAACTACCACAACTATGTTTGGATGATTCTTCTTTTAAGGAATCTATGCGTCGATTAAAATTTATTCCAACTGCAAGCGGAAGCTTAGATTGTCCTGAATCTCTATATGATCCTCGCGTTGATGAACTTTATGCCCTTCTTGAAGAATCAAATTGTTTTCCTGGTGGTTTATTTGGTGAACACAGTGTTCTAGACATGTTACTGTGTTTGGGACTTAGAACCTCAGTTTCTTCTGACACAATTATTAAGAGTGCACGTCTTGTTGAATCATTAATGCGTGAGGATCAGTTGAAGGCTTTTATACATGGCACGGTGCTTCTTTCATATCTTGAAGTTCATGCAAATAAGTGGTATAAGAATGATAGTCGAAAGGGTGTAAATATGGTGTTTTCAAAAGGTGCTACATCAGGAAAGCCCGGCAATTTTCATTCACAAGATGGTATTGAAAAATTCTGGAATGACCTTAGAATGATATGCTGGTGCCCTGTTTTGGACTCTGCACCCCATGCTGCTTTGCCATGGCCTGCAGTTTCTTCCATGGTGGCCCCTCCCAAGATAGTTAGACCAAGAGAAGATATATGGCTTGTTTCTGCAAGTTCACGAATACTTGATGGAGAATGTCGCTCATTGGCTTTGTTCTCAGGCCTAGGTTGGTCTTCACCTCCAAGTGGAACTGTGATTGCTGCTCAACTACTTGAACTTGGCAAAAACAATGAGATTGTTGTAGATCGGATTCTTCGACAAGAATTAGCAATAGCAATGCCTAAAATATATTCTCTGTTGACCAATTTGATAGGCTCAGATGAGATGGACATTGTTAAAGCTATTCTTGAAGGTTGTAGATGGATTTGGGTGGGAGACGGGTTTTCAACTGTTAGTGAGGTTGTTCTTCATGGTCAGTTTCATTTGGCTCCCTACATGCGTGTTATTCCTGTTGATTTAGCAGTATTCAGAGATCTGTTTTTGGAACTTGGAATACCAGAGTACTTGAAGCCTGCGGATTATGCTAATATTCTTTGCCGAATGGCAGACAAAAAAGGCTGCACCCCACTTGATGCTCATGAGCTTAGAGCAGCAGTGTCCATGGCCCAGCATCTTGCAGAAATCCAGTCTCAGCATTTGTATGTTAAAATATATTTACCTGATTTCTTATCTAGGTTAATCCCAGCAACTGATTTAGTTTACAATGATGCTCCCTGGTTGCTTGATTTGGGGGAGAATGCAAGTGGAGATGGATATAGTGTTTCTCTAATGCCTAAGAATAATATACATAATTTTGTGCATGGCAATATTTCAAATGATATTGCAGAAAAACTTGGTGTTAGTTCTCTTCGTCGTCTTTTGCTTGCTGAAAGTTCTGATTCAATGAATCTGAGCCTATCAGGGGTTGCGGAAGCCTTTGGACAACATGAGGCATTAACAACAAGGCTCAAGCATATTGTTGAAATGTATGCAGATGGGCCGGGGATACTTTTTGAGCTTGTACAAAATGCTGAGGATGCACAGGCTTCTGAAGTGGTTTTCCTTTTGGATAAAACTCAATATGGTACATCATCCATTCTTTCTCCTCAAATGGCAGAATGGCAAGGCCCAGCACTGTACTGCTTTAATGATTCGGTTTTCAGTTCCCAAGATCTGTATGCAATATCACGTATTGGTCAGGACAGTAAACTTGACAAGCCTTTTGCAATTGGAAGGTTTGGGCTTGGATTCAATTGTGTTTATCACTTTACAGATATACCTGGTTTTGTTTCTGGCGAGAACATTGTGATTTTTGATCCCCATGCTAGCCACCTGCCAGGAATTTCTCCAACTCATCCTGGCCTGAGGATAAAATTTGTTGGTAGAAGGATCTTGGAGCAGTTTCCAGATCAGTTCATGCCATTCTTACACTTTGGCTGTGATTTACAACAACCATTTCCTGGTACTCTATTTCGATTTCCACTCAGGAACGAAACTTCTGCTCACAGAAGCCAGATTAAGAAAGAAAAGTATTCACCTGAAGATGTGGAGTTGCTTTTCTCTTCTTTCACTGAAGTTGTATCTGAGTCGCTGCTCTTTCTTCATAATATCCAAAGGGTAACTATTTTCATAAAGGATGGTTCTAGCCATGAGATGCAGTTAATACACCGAGTGTCTAGGCACAGTGATGGTGGGCTTGGAAAGGAGCCACACCCCCATCATAACATGCTCAGCTTTGTTCACGGAAACCATCAAAATGGAATGGATAGGGATCAGTTCATGACCAAGTTGGATAAAATTGTAGAAAGGGATTTGCCATGGAATTGCCAGAAGATTGTACTGTTGGAGCAAAGTCCTTCTGGTTCACATTTAAACGTTTGGGTTGTTAGTGAATGTATAGGTGGTGGGCGTGCTAAAAGTAAATCTTTATCTGTGGGTAACCAATCATTTAAATTTATTCCCTGGGCATCAGTTGCTTGTTACTTGCACTCTGCTAACTTGCAAGACTTAAATGATGATGATTTCCTAGATGCTAAAGTAGAATCTTATGTAGTCGCTCGAGTTCAAACATCTTCAGCATATTACAGAAAAAAGTTTTGGGGCAGGGCCTTTAGCTTCCTCCCTTTACCGATTAGTACTGGTCTTCCAGCACATATTAACGCATATTTTGAATTATCTTCTAACAGGAGAGACATATGGTTTGGTGATGACATGGCAGGTGGTGGAAAAGTTCGATCAGAGTGGAACCTTTGTCTTCTTGAAGATGTTATTGCTCCTGCTTATGGTCATTTGCTGGTTTTCATTGCACAAGAGGTTGGTCCATGCGATCTTTACTTCTCCTTTTGGCCTACTTCCACTGGCATTGAACCATGGGAATCAATGGTGAGGAAATTCTATGTATTTCTGTCTGATCAAAGATTGCCTGTTTTGTACACAAAAGCTAGAGGTGGGCAGTGGATTTCGGCAAGACAAGCCATATTTCCTGATTTTAATTTTCGAAATGCGATTGAGCTTGCAGAAGCGTTATCAGAAGCTGGCTTGCCTGTAGCTAATGTATCAAATGAGATTGTGAAAAGGTTTATGGACTCATGCCCTTCACTTCATTTTCTCACTCCTCAGCTTCTAAGAAGCATATTGATCCGCCACCATTATGGATTTAAGGAAAAAGTTGCGAGTGTGACTGCTTTAGAATACTGCTTGAGTGATCATAAAGTGATTTCTTCCTGTGATATATTAAATGGATTACCTTTGTTACCTTTAGCTGACGGTAAATTTACTTCATTTAACAGAAGGGGAGAAGGTGATAGAGTATTTGCTACATCTATTGAGGTATTTGATCTTCTTGTAAACCGAGTACCATATCTACTTGTGGACTGTTCCGTTCCTGATACTACGCTGAAGAAGCTAAGAGACATTGCTAATTCTGGCCTAACTAATTTGCATGTATTGACATGTTATTCTGTTGTGGAACTTCTTCCCAGGATTCTTCCAACTGAATGGCAGCATTCTAGGCAGGTACGATGGACTCCAGGCCATCAAGATCAACCAAGTCTTGAATGGATGGGGTTATTCTGGAGCTATTTGAAGGCATCCTGTAATGATCTTTCAATATTTAACACGTGGCCTATTTTACCTGTGAGGAATGGTTTTCTTTTGCAACTTGTCGAAAATTCTGCTGTAATCAGGGATGATGGATGGAGTGAAAATATGTCTTCATTACTGCAGAAATTGGGATGTTCCTTTTTGAGGTCTGACTTGCCTCTTGATCATCCCCATTTAAGAAACTTCGTGCAAGATGCGACGGCAACTGGCATTCTGAATGCTCTGCAAGCTTCTTGTCAGCTGCAAGATATTAAGAACTTATTTCTGAATGCGTCCAAGGCGGAGATGCGGGAATTGAGGAGCTTCATTTTCCAGTCTAAATGGTTTTCTGGGGATCAAATGGGTTCCATGCAAATAGACATAATCAAACATCTTCCAATTTTTGAGTCCTACAAAAATGATGTGCTTTTAACTTTGACTAATCCATTAAAATCGCTTAAACCAGCAGATTTACTTGAGGATCTCATAGATGATAGTTTTATCAGAACAGAATCCGAGAGGGAAAAGAGCATTTTGCAAAATCATTTGGGAATCAGAGAATTACCAAAAGCGGAGTTTTACAAAAACTTCGTGTTTAATAGTATAGAAAGTTTCCTTGGAAGAACAACCTTTATTTTGGATATCTTAGTTGATTTGAAGCTGTTGGCTGAAGAGGATGATTCCATTAAATCTGCACTATCGGAAATGTCTTTTGTTTTAACTGCTGATGGTTCTTGGCGGCATCCTTCCAGGTATGATCTCATTTTAGGCTTCATTTGGTTCATTTTTTGCTTATATAAAAATGAGTTTTAGAAAAAAATGCTAACAAAAAGAAGTTTAATAAAATGAAGTTTCAATAATAATATGTTGTTTGAGTAATATTTTTTTAAGTGCTTATTAATATTTAAAAGAAAATTTAAATTATTTGTTTAGGAGTTTAGCATTTATAGATTTTATTATAAATGACTAAATTACCCATACTTACAGCATAAGTATATATAATTAATTTGTTTTTCTATTTTACATGATAAAGTTTACATTATATATATATATATATTTCTAAGAAAAAATTAATTTTCTACTAACTTATAATATAAAAAATTTACATTATTAACTTATAATTTCTTAAAATACAACATAATTTTTACTACAAATATGATAAAATTTAAATTATAGTAATTTATTATTATAGTTATAGTCTTTCGTTATTATTTCTTCTATTAAAAAAACTCACCTTCAACTATACAAATATATTTATGTTGGAAAATTAATTTATATTGGTATCAAATAAAGTAATTTCGTAATTTAAATGCTATTTGAGCTTATTTCTGAGCTTGAGAAAATACAAAGAATCGACCACGAATCTGAAGTGGCAACCTACGTAGTTGATGGCTTGATGCGGCACCAATTTAAATGTGTATGTACTCAGAAGACTATTGCATGGTTCTAGAATTTTGTAATAAAGCAGTGGCAGATTATTTTATTTGAAGAAAACAGCGTTTAGATTCATTAATATACGTCAAATCAAAGTCGGAAGGGAAATTTAATGATCATGGTTAAACCAATTGAAACAGCTATATTATTATCAGACTTCATAGAAAAAAATATCAGTCATCATATTATTAAAAAGTATTTAAATAAAGGACCTTTGAGAGCAGTGATTGAGTAACATTACCTCCATAATTGGAATTTCACAGGACTAACGTCGCTTTGATTAACCAGGAACCCATAAGCAAGCCAATACCGCGTTGAAGCAACAGAACCAGTACATGGCCTACTTGATACTCAGCTCATTGTTTGGACAATTCTGATGGGCCGGGCGAACCGGCCCCGCCTGGACCCGTGCGGGTCTACAGGCGGAAGAAGGGGGGGGGGCGGTGACCCGGCTGGACCAAAGGAGGGACCCCCCACTTAAGTGGGGGTATTTTGGGGATGGGAGGGTCTTTTTGAAAGGGTATGAAGGGAGCTATTAGGGTTTAGTTTTGGGTATTATGAAAAGTGTATTCTCTTTCTAGTTTTCTTCCTCTAGTCTTCTCTTGTGCTTTTCTAGGGTTTTCTTTTGGGAGATCTTGTCCTTCTCGAAGTGGACAAACTTATCTTGTTTTCTCTTGGCTTGCTAATGCAAAGGTTCTCATTGTTCTTCTCTACTCTTTTTGTGATTACTTTCTCATTTGGTGTTGGTGGAGAAAGTCCACTCTCTTGGAGGGGAAATTAGGGCAAACCCTAATTTGTGAAACCTAAGGTGTATCAAATTCTTCATACATAAAAAAAAATTTATGATGTATAGCTACAATTGAACTACGTTAGACATATCATGGAAACTTCCAGATATTCATAATGAATTTATATGAGCTTCGACTACCGGAGTCTTTAAAATTCATCATTAAGATTCTCAGACGTAAGAGTCACACTCATCAGTGCAAGTTAACCGAACAAGATAGTAACAAATAGCATGGGCTTCATGATAATGACATAATGATTACAAATTCCTAAATTTACACATAAACTTGTTATAAAATTTACATAAATAAAATTCCAATCTTTGCTCATCATAGTTAATAACAAAAAGCATTACAAATAGTTTCCTAACCAAATCATTAACAACCATGTCATTATCTCCTTCACAGTGCTGAAGCTTAAGATGAATATCCTTCTCAGGGTGATGTCTGAATGGGTTGCTATTAAAGGAAAAAAATAAGCAAATATTTTAGCTTTTTCTGTGAAATATTTTTGAAAATCATATTCACAAAATACAATTTTGATATTCATGTTACTTGTTCTAATTGTATAGTTAAAATGCAATTTTCTTTCTAAGTTCAATAATTTCATTAAAACCTTCGCCATCACCAAACTCTACTTCGGCATCAACCACATTACTTTGTTCAACTTGCTGATGCAAGACTAAATATGCTTTAGATGAATGATATGAAGTTGCATGATTTTGATATGAACAAATAACAACTAAGAATATTAGCCACTAAACGAAAACAAAAAACATAAGAGGGGTAGCTACGTTTAGGACAAATCACATGTTAAGTATTTGAATTATCAAAACAATTAGAATTTTAACAACATATGAATTAAATAGTTACTTAACAAAAATACCTAATCTAACAATAAGATAAGCAACATAGAAAGTACACTCAAATCTTATGTTTACTAGTCAGAGGCAGAGGGCGAGACACGATTCCTTGCGAATTGATCACCACCTACAAGATTAGCAGATTAGGAAATTAAGTGAAAAGGGGAAGAAGTTCACCATTGTGGTTGTCCGGAAACAATTTGCCACTGGATGTTGATAAGTTGTTCGTCGATGGCTTTTGAAAGTGTGAATATGATGCAATCCAAGTACTCTTCAATGGAATTATCGACTTACAAGTTGAAGTTGAAGAAGGTGGAGTGGAGGATATTGACGTTCCCTTGCTCGTCTTAAGCGAACCCGTGGTCAAGTTCCGGATTGGCCATTCTTTGGTTTCGAAGGATGGGTGAGTAGACGAAGATCGTTGTTGCTTCCTTTGAAGACTCCACTAGAGAGAAAGAAGTTTCTCTCAAGAGTTGAAGTGGAGAAGGAAGGGGTGGCTGGCCAAAGGAGGAGGCAAGGGGAAGAACTTTGTTTTAGATTTTGGTGGATGGGATTTGATTTAAACAACTCCTTAATTAGCCCCCTTGATTGAAAGAACTAATTGAAGGGAAAAAGAGAGAGGGGCAGCAGGAAAGAGGGAGGGAGAGGGGCTTAATTTAATTCCAATAAGAGAGACTTTATTTTGGAAAGAAATTAAATAGGTGGGGGCGTGGGGATTTCGGCCAAGAGAGAGGGAGAGGAGGTTTGAATTATTTCCAAGAGAGTAATTTATAATTTAAAGAATATTAACAAAAATATTTTTGAGAGTAAGATTTTAGATATTAAAATTTTGTCTGTGCATGAGGATGCTAATGTTATGTGGGAAAAGTGACTAGTGCTATTAAGATTATTGCAAAAGATGTGATTGGAGTTTCGAAGGGAAAAGCTTTTAATAGTAAAAATAGTTGGTGGTTGAATCCAAATGTGCAAGAAAAGATAAAAAATAAGAAGATTTGTTATAAAAAAGTGATTTATAAATTTATATGTAAAAATTCAGATAATTGAGAAAGCTATAAAGAGGTTCGTAAGGAATCTAAGAAAGTTATTTGCGATGCAAAGAGCTTAGCTTTTAATAATTTATATAATAGATTAGATACTAAGGAGAGAGAGATATATGTATAAGTTAGCCAAGCAAAAAGTTGGGAGGAGTAAGAATTTAGTTCAAGTGAAATGTATTAAGAATGAAGATCAAAAAGTAATTTTTTTAGAAGATGATATTCAACAAAGGTGGTTTAGATATTTTGCTAAACTTTTTAATAAAGATTGTGAAACTACTATTAACTTTAGTGACTTTAGCACCCTAAATGAAAATAAAGATTTTTATTTTTATCGGCGTATTAGTAAAATTGAAGTTAGAGAGGTTTTAAAGAAAATGAAGTGTGAAAAAGCTGTTGGACCAGATGATATTTCAATAGAGATGTGAAAATGCTTAGGAGATGAAGGAATTTTTTGGCTAACTAAACTTTTTAATACTGTTTTGAAGACTAAAAAGATGCCAGATCAGTGGAGAATGAGTGTGTTAATTATTATTTTTAAGAATAAAGGTGATGCACAGGAGTGTGCGAATTATAGAAGAATTAAGTTAATATGTCATACTTTAAAACTATGGGAGCAAATTATGTAGCGTAGGTTGCGGCGTGATACTAATGTTTCTCAAAATTAATTTGGATTCATGCCGGTGTGGGCTCCGAAAATTCGGCCTCGGCCTCCTCTCGCTTTTAACTTGAATTATGGAGGTCAACCTTAGAGTCTAAAGGTTTTCACTTGAGTAGATCTAAAATTGAATATATGGAGTGTAATTTTAGTAACAATAGACCTAGTGAGGGGATTGTGACTTTGGGAGATCAATTCATTAATAAGAGTACACGTTTTAGATATCTTGTATCTATGGTTCAAAGTGATGGTGAAATAGATGGGGATATTAATAGGAGAATTCAAATTGGATGGTTGAAGTAGAGGAATGCGTCAGGCTTATTGTGCGATAGAAAAGTTCCCCTCAAACTTATGGGAAAATTCTATAAGATGGTGGTGAGACCTGCCATGCTTTATGGTGCCAAATGTTGGCCATTAAAAGAGAAGGATAATACTAAGTTAAGTGTTGCAGAGATGAGGATACTTAGGTGGATGAGTGGCTTTATCCTTAGATATAGGATACGAAATGAGCATATACGTAAAAAAGTTGGAGTAGCTCCAGTGGAAGATAAGATTAGAGAGAGTCGCCTTAGATGGTTTGGACACATTAAATGGAGGCCTTCTGATGACTCTGTCAGGAAAGTTGAGGTATTAGATTTGCTTATGTTAAGAAAGGTAGAGGTAGACCTAAAAAGACGGGTTAGAAAATATTAGAAATGATCTTTCTTTATTAGATTTAAATTAGAATTTGACTTTTAACAGGACATAATGGCGAAAAAGGATTCATGCAGCGACCCCACATAGTGGGAGAAAAGCTTGTTGTTGAGAGTAATTTGGAATTTGGAAATAATTTCCAATGAGATCCCATAGGGGGGCCGGCGGCAATAGAGAGAGGGAAGGGGATTTAATGAGGCATCCTAAGCTTTCCTAAATTAATAAATTAAATTTGGAATGAAATATTTCATTCCAATTTAATTTAAAATTTAAATAAGCTATGAA